TATTTTCCGGCGTATAAGGCGACTGGGTGTATAAGATGACCCCCTAATTTTCCAGTTAAAACATAGGTTTTGGGCTATACTCGTCGTATAAGACTACCCCCCTTCTGAGGCAACACCATTTTAACCCTTGGCTACAGGGCACTTATACCCACTTCCCCCCCCCCAGGCTAATTTTTAGCTTTCAGCGCTGTCACATTTTGAATGACAATTGCGCGGTCATGCAACACTGTACCCATATGAAATAGGTGGCACTGATGGGCACTGATGAGGAGGCACTGGTAGGTGGCACTGATGGGCATTGACAGACATCACTGATGGGCACTGAAAGGCAGCACTGCTACATGGCACTGATAGGCAGCACTGACTGGCACTGTTAGGTGGCACTGACTGGCACTGATAGGTGGCACTTACTGGCACTGATAGGTGGCACTGATGCGCACTGATAGGTGGCACTGACTGGCACTGATAGGCGGCACTGATGCACACTGATAGGTGGCACTGATTGGCAGCACTGATAGGTGGCACTGATTGGCAGCACACTGATAGGTGGCACTGATGGGCATTGACAGGCATCACTGATGGGCACTGAAAGGCAGCACTGATACATGGCACTGATAGGCGGCACTGACTGGCACTAATAGGTGGCACTGATTGAAATTGATAGGTGACACTTGTTGGGGATGCAACAGCATGTACTATATACAGTATTGTGTGTTAATATCACTTGACCAGTAGATGGCACTGTACACTAAGGTTACCAGTTGTGCATATCTGAAAAACTTGTTGGTTCTTTCTTTTTCTCTCTCTCTTCAAAACCAAGATGTCTGCCGTTACAGTTTGCTGAAATGTTTTGTATGTTTGCAACTTAAGCCACACAAGTAAACCAAGTTCTGCCTCATCACAAGCTACTAGTGTCTTCTCTAACACATAACCAATAGGTTATGGGCCCAGCTCCAGACACTGGAAAGAGGAAAACTACAAGCAAGTAAGTGCTGCATTTACAATCCTACCAAATCCTGTGTGAGGAAACAAGAGCTGTATCCAGTTCACTGAAAGATGGCAAGTGCTTCAGATATGAAGTTTACAATAGCAAAGCTCAACAATACCAGCTATGGAAGTTTAAGCTTGAAATGCTGTTATCCAAAGATGACTTGTGGCAGGTACTAGATACACACAGACCCAATGACAACTCGGAAGAATGGGACAGAAAAAACAGGCAAGCAAAAGCAGTCATAAGCCTGTTAGTGGAGGACGATCAACTCATTCATATAAGGAAAGAAAATACAGCTAAAGGTATGTGGACTGCATTACAAAAACTGCATGAACGTGCAAACCTAAACAGTAAACTATATCTGCTGCGCAAACTGTATAAGATGAGGCTGGAAAAAGGGCAGGAAATGGGTGAACATGTAAATGCTATGCTAGAAATTGTGGACCAGCTGGGTGCAATAGGTATAGAAATGAAAGACAATCATGTAGTAGCACTACTGCTATGCAGCCTTCCAGAATCATACAGTGCCCTTATAAATGCTCTAGAAACTAGACCGGAAACTGAATTGACGCTAGAATATGTTAAGGGAAAATTAATTGATGAATACAGCAGAAGAAAGGAAAATTTGCATAGTGAAGTGAAGGAGAGACCAGAGGCAGCTCTGAAGGTGCATGAAGGCATAAGACAAAGCAAAGAAACCAGGGTATGTTTTCGCTGCAAAAAGCCTGGTCACCTGAAAAAGAACTGTTTAATCTGGAAAGCTGAGCAGCGAAAGCCGGAGCTATCCACAAGAGAAAGTGCTAAAGCGGTCATGAATGAAAATGAAAGTGCATCATGGAGTGGTACTTTTAAAGTGACTCAGAATAGTACCTCACATGGATGGTGCATTGATTCAGGGGCAACAAGTCACATGACAAGCGACGAGACATTCTTCACAGAAATTGATTTTAGTGTAAAAGATAAAGTCTTCCTAGCAAATGGGAAAAGTATTCCAGCGGAAGTTAATGGTCAGGGATTTCTGAACTGCAAAACGTCATCGGGAGGCAAGAAGAGCATCCTTGTAAAGAATGTTCTATATGTTCCAAGCCATATGTTCCAAGCCTAGAAGGAAGCCTCCTATCAGTTAAAACCCTTGCAAGCAATGGACTCACTGTCCAGTTCAGAGGTAATGAATGCACAATTCAAAATGGAAAGCAAATTCTAACAAGAGGAAGGTTAAATGAACATCTGTACAAAATCGTCACTGAAAGTGAGAAGGCTAATGCGGCAACTCATAACCCACATGACAAGTGCATCCACCTGTGGCATAGAAGATTGGGGCATCGAAACCCAGAAGCTATAAAGGACTTTGCAAAGAGAGGTCTATCAGAAGACATGAAAATATTGCCTTGCCACACACTCAGCAAGTGCACGTGTTGCATTAAAGCAAAGGCCACCCGAACCTCTCTTCCACAGACCAGTCAGAGTAAAACCATTAAACCCATGGAACTGATACACAGTGATGTGTGCGGACCAATGAAAACCATCACACCTGGCGGGAACAGATATTTACTGACTTTCATCGACGATTATTCCAGGTACACAATAACGTATCTAATGAAGCACAAAAGTGAGACATTAAAAAAACTTCAAGAGTTTGTAGCTATGACAAGCAACAAGTGTCAAAGGAAACCTGTAATAATACGCACTGACATTGGAGGGGACTATATGAATGAAGAGGATGGAAGCTATCTTCTTAACCAAAGTCAGAAAATTACAGAAATGTTAGAACAGTTTCACATGCAAGATGCAAAGGAAGCGAAAACACCAATGGAACCAGATTATCCAAAAAACAATGGAACAGAAAACTTGTTACCTAACAATGATTATTACCGCAGGGCAATCGGAAAATTGCTATACATCGCCACCGTGACAAGACCAGACATCACCGTAGCAGTGGGCATACTTTGCAGGAAAGTCGCAACACCGTGTCAACGCGACTCGAATGCAGTAAAGAGGGTAATGCAGTACCTAAAGGGAACAAAATCGAATGAAGCTGCGACTTCCAGCATCGTCAAACCCAAAACTGATTGGATATGTGGACGCCGATTGGGCTGGAGAAACCACTGACCACTGTGCTTGCATGGAGAATGGGAGGACGTCATATGAGCCAATGATGTATTCTATTAATGAATACAGAGCCTGCTCGGATTGGCTGCGTCAGAGAGACACGGCAAGTGATGTATTCTATTAATGAATACAGAGCCTGCTCGGATTGGCTGCGTCAGAGAGACGGGCTGATGATGTCACAACTTCAGCCAATCCGAACAGGCTCTGTATTCATTAAAAGAATACATCACTCTCCGTGATTGGCTCAGCGCGGTACACTGTATGTAACTGAAGCTACCGTACAGTATTACCACACATCCAGCGGTTCTATACCCGGCGTATAAGACGACCCCCAATTGTTGGGGTATGTTTTGAAGTAAAAACATTTGTCTTATACGCCGGAAAATACGGTATATATATATATATATATATATATATAAACACACACACAGTATGTAAGTGTCTTTAATTACAGTGCCTTTTTTTTACAAATAAATATCTGACAAGTGTGGCGTGCTTTCAGCCCCTTTACTGGATATAGTGGAAGAAGGTGCTCTGGTCAAAATGGAACTTTTTGGCCTAAAAGCAAAATGCTGTGTGGCGGAAAACTAACACTGCACATCACCCTGAACATACCATCCCCACCGTGAAACATGGCTGTGGCAGTATCATGTTGTAGGGATGCTTTTCTTCAGCAGGGACAGGGAAGCTGGTCAAAGTTGATGGGAAGATGGATGGAGCCAAATACAGGGCAATCTTAGAAGAAAACCTGTTAGAGTCTGCAAAGGACTTGAGACTGGGGCAGAGGTTCACCTTCCAGCAGGACAATGAACCTAAACACACAGAGCTACAATGGAATGGTTTAGATCAAAGCATATTGATGTGTTAGAATGGCCCAGTCAAAGTCCAGAACTAAATCCAATTGAGAATCTGTGGTAAGACTTGAATATTGTTGTTAACAGACACTCTAGTTATACACTGCTCAAAAAAATGAATCTGACAGAGCTTGTGCTATTTTACAAAGAAGAATGGGCAAACATTTCACTCTCTAGATGCGCAAAGCTGGTACAGACATACCCAAAAAGACTTGCAGCTAAAATGTAAATTTTAAAAAACCATTTATAATTTTCCTTCCACTTCACAATTATGTGCCACTTTGTGTTGGTCTATCACATAAAATCCCAATAAAATACATTTACGTTTTTGGTTGTAAGATGACAAAATGTGAAAGATTTCAAGGGGGATGAATACTTTCTCAAGGCACTGTATATAGTTTTTTAAGGGTATACCTGTAAGAATATGTATTTAACAAGACGTACATTAATATTAATATAATGCTAAAATAGTTTTTAAGCTATCTCTGCTGGCTATGAGAAAATGGTGCCTGTTGTTTAGGACTACAAAATGGAGGCTGGTGGGTGGATTTATGTTGGTTGGATCTACTGTACCATGATTGGGGCTCCAATATGGATCTCTTGTTTGTCCTCTAGTGGATGACATATGGTACACAAAAAAAACGGCGCCCAATATTCAACAAAATGGTGCATATTGCTTAGTTACGAGGCGTTGGTATAAAATAGACACATCACTTCCCTGCCACATCCTTCTGAAGCAGTCATGATTAGATGATGAAACACGTGGCCGGACCACATCGTCACGTGCAGGGATCGGACGTTGGCCACCTTGGTGAGGTATCTGAAACCATTATCCAGTCTTAATGGAGAAACTGATTTAAAGAGACGATCTATTCTATGTTTACTGGATATAGTGCACTTAATTTGTGAGTGTTATTTTATTCTTTAACTGCTTCCCGATTGCTCTATAGCAGAAGTATATACAGGGCAGCAGGGGTGCGTGAAATCACATATATATACATGAATTTGTATCTCCAGGAAGGGGTGCACGCGAGTCGCGTGCACTCCCTACTCGTGCGCCATTCGCAGCCGTGGCTGTAAATCACCGGGTCCCGCCCGGTGATTCCCCGCTGGTGCCCAGTGATTACCTCCGACGGGGAGGAGGACTGCTTTGTTTACTAACAGTCCTCCTCTCTGTGGGCTCGGGCACACTACTCTGGATGGCTGTGCACAGCACAGCCATCCAGAGCAGTGTGCTTACAGTGAAGCACCAACACACCACCCCCCAGTAAAACAATCCCAGCACACATTTAACCCTTTGATTGCCCCTCATGTTAACCCCTTCCTGCCCAGTATCATTAGTACAGTGTCAGTGCTTTTTTAGCACTGACCACTTTATTGGTGTCACTGGGGATGTCAGTGACACCAAGTCAGTTCCCCCCAGTGTCAGAATGCCCGCCGCAGTCCCGCTATAAGTCACTGATCACTGTCATTACTAGTAAAAAAAAAATTCCAGTATCTATACCGCCATTTGTAAATGCTATAACTTTCACGTAAACCAATTTAATACTGTTTTTTTTCCTCAAAATTGTCGCTTTTTTTTTATAGTGCAAAAAATAAAAAATTCACAGGCAATCAAATACCATCAAAAGAAAGCTCAATTCATGGGAAAAAAAGGACGTAAATTTCATTTGGGTGCAGTGTTGCATGACCGTGCAATTTGCAGTTAAAGTAACACAACGCCATAATGCAAAAAATGGCCTGGTCAGGAAGGGGGGTAAATCCTCAGGAGGGCAAGTGGTTAATAAATGATATACGGGAGTTTTACATGTTGCGCAATGTTTTTTTTTGTTCCTATGAGCATCTATTTGAAGAAATTGGAATTCTTGTGATAATATGACATCAGCATAGCTGTATGCAGCAGAACCCTTAAAGGGCAAGGCGCATATTGACCTAGTATACAGGCCAAATATCTGAGTAAGCGGCCTCATTGGAAGGTGGTGGAAGCACTATTTGTGGTGGTGATTGATCTCAACACTGGTGGATTTAATAAATAAACAGACTTTCATAAAGGTAGAAGAAGACTTACCGTGAACTCTTTACACTGTATTATGCAAAGTGTTGGGGGATATTATCTTTGTTGATTCACTATATATACATTTTTAATATATTTAATTTGGATGTATAATGATAATTTTTGGGTCACTCACATTTGTATTTGTATGGTATTAGGTAGTTTTATGTAGCCATACGAGTTCATTAGTATAAATAATTTTTGATTGTGTTGAAGAACTATACACCATTGGACATTTTTGTATATTTTTTTTCGTTTGCATGTTTCATTTGTACAAAAAATTTTCACTTAAGGATTTACAGATTGTTCATTTATTGGTTAACATCTTCATGCCGGCTGAACGCAAATGTGCTGCCTCCTGGCGTCTGAGCCTAGACGCCGAGTGTCCGCACATTTGCATTCTATTGAAAAAGAACATATGTGCTCAGAGCGCGCTCCCAGCACATATGTCCGGTACTCACGGAAAGGTCCCGATCTCCTCTTTCGATTGGGACCTTTCCCAATCATGTGACCACCGTGACGGCGTGTCATGGCGGTCACATGACCCTAAACCCCGCCTCCCGGCTTCTGAAACCCTTAAAGGGCCGGGAGGCGTCGGCGTGAAGGGGTTAATCAGTGCTGTTTTGTTGATATAATTATATGCCACTGATGGTTAAGTAAAATTATGCAGGCACTGACCAGTCCTTGTCCCCAAACACTTCCTGCCATGTCTACACTGCTCAAAAACAATAAAGGAACACTTTGAATACACATCAGATCTCAATGGGAAAAAATAAAATGGTGGATAACTATACTGATATGGACTGCGTAATGTGTTAGGAATGTAATGATGCCCCATCATTTGATGGAAATTAAAATTATCAACCTACAGAGGACTGAATTCAAAGACACCCAGAAAATTAAATTGAAAAAAATATGCAGCAGGCTAGTCCATCTTGCTGAAATTTCATTGCAGCAACACAAAATGGTACTCAGTAGTTTGTATGGCCCCCATGTGCTTGTATGCATGCCTGAAAATGTCGGGCATGCTCCTAATGACTCCTAATGAGATGACGGATGGTGTCCTGGGGTATTTCCTCCCAGATCTGGACCAGGGCACCACTGCGCTTTTGGACAGTCTGAGGTGCAACCTGGCGGCATCAGCTGGACCGAAATATGATATCCCAGAGGTGCTCTATTGAATTTAGGTCAGACAAGCATGGGGGGCCATTTGATAGTAACAATTCCTTCATCCTCCAGGAACTGCCTGCATACTCTCGTCACATGAGGCTGGGCATTATCGTGCACCAGGAGCAACCCAGGACCCACTGCACCAGCGTAGGGTCTAACAATGGGTCCAAGGATTTCATCCTGATACCCAATGGCAGTCAGGGTGCCATTGTATAGCCTGTAGAGGTCTGTGCATCCCTCCATAGATATGCCTCCCTAGACCACCACTGATCCACCACCAAAAAGGTCATGCTGAACAATGTTACAGGCAGCATAACATTCTCCATGGATTCTCCAGACCCTTCCACGTCTGTCACATGTGCTCAGAGTGAACCTGCTCTCATCTGTGAAAAGCACAGGGCACCAGTGGTGGACCTGCCAATTCTAGTGTTCAATGGCAAATGCCAATCGATCTCGATAGGGCCAAACAGTGAGCACAAGGCCCACTAGAGGACGTTGGGCCCTCAGGCCGCCCTCATGTTTCTGATTGTTGGTCAAAGACATTCACACCAGTGGTCTGCTGGAGGCAATTTTGTAGGGCTCTGACAGTGCTCATCCTGTTCCTTCCTGCTCAAAGGAGCAGATACCAGTCCTGCTGATGGGTTAAGGACCTTCGACGGCCCTGTCCAGCTCTCCTAGAGTAACTGCCTGTCTCCTGGAATCTCCTCCATGTTCTTAAGACTGTGCTGGGAGACATAGAAAACCTTTTGGCAATGGCATGTATTGATGTGCCATCCTGGAGGAGATGGACTGCCTGTGCAACCTCTGTAGGGTCCAGGTATCACCTCATGCTACCAGTAGTGACACTGACCCTAGCCAAATGCAAAACTAGTGAAAAACAGTCAGAAGAGACGAGTAGGGAAAAAAATATCAATGGCCTCCACCTGTAAAACCATTCCTGTTTTGGAGGTCGTCTCATTGTTGCCCATCTAGTGCACCTGTTGTTAATTTAATTAACACCAAAGCAGCTGCTGAAAACTGATTAACAACTCCCCACTACTTAACTGACCAGATCAATATCCAAAGAGTTTAATTGACTTGATTCTATACTCTGATTAAAAATTGTTCATTTCATTTTTTTGAGCAGTGTATAATCATACTGTTTGCACTCTTCTACAGCTTACCAGGATATCTATTGTTTCTTTTACCCCTGTACCCCCTCTGTATTCATGACAGCTTCCCAGCATACAGATTTGCCCACTAGCATCTCTTTGCATGCCAGCTAAGTGCCAGTCTTAATTACTGTCCATTTTCTAATCTGTGAACTGGTGATATTTTTTCAGGAATTTGTTGCAGCTACAGCGACAGGTTTCTAAAGTGGCAGTTCTTAGAACTATTAAATTTGCCGCACATGTTGGTACTATTATAGAAACTGGCGCAAATGCTTGCAAGAATGAAGCATAAATAGTTTTAAAGGGAACTACTGCCAGACAATTGTAAAGGCTTTTCTGAATTTGTCCAGAAAATGCTTTAAAGGAGAATGAAAAATTATTTGTTTAATATATTACCTCTCTGCAAGTGTTCTTCCCATAGGTGGTTTTTCTTCTTTGTGCTCCTCTTACTTTGAGTTCTTACACGAGATGACATCATGCCTGTGCAAAAAAGTTACAATCTATTTAAATCAAATAGGTGTACACATCATTTTACATTTTATCAGTATGTAATTATTTTTCAGACATTTCTATAAATTAACCCTTGTGGTGATAAAGTGAATCTGTCACTATATACAGTACATAAATAAAAAAAAAAAAACTTAAAAAAAGACTGCATGTCAAGAAAAGGGTACATTTTGCAGATAGCTAAGGACCCATTCACACTTAGCGATTTGGAATCGAGGGCACATTGTGCTAAAATCTCAGCAAAAAGCTCAACAGGCATTTGGGTGCGAGTCATCCTTACTGGCACCCTAAAAACAGTGTGATTTTGAATGATTGCCGCACGACAAAATACCCATGTAAAAGAGAATGGCCTGCCCTATGTGTGTCATGCGGAAAAGCGAGGAAATCAGAAAAAAGAAATGTGAGTGGGAACATGCATTTCTGCTACGCGGATTGTGAATAGGGCCTTAGCTCTACAGGAGATCAAAGACTGGTAGTGTGGGTGGTGGGACAGGTAAGCATTAATGCATTCAGGTGAAAGCCAATTTAAGTTGTATCCTGTCCTCGAATAGTAGGTGTCTCAAGGTTCCTACACTCATATTCAGTACCTTTTGTAGAGCACCAGTGTAGTTAGAAAAAGTGACTAGCACCACTCCTTCCCCACACTTGTGGCTTTGTATTTCTTAGTAAAGTCACACATGTTGCCCAATTGGTATGTCCAGGTAGCAGGATGGTGTGGAACTAAAGAGTAAACTATAAGCAAGGTAAACTATAATCTTGCAAGACCTGTTTGCAATTTCCTTTATAGTGTACCCCAGGATTTCATGTTACTTCAGGGACTCTGTAAAGTTACTTAGTGGGTATGTAGCAACAGGAATTGCTTGGTGCTGCCCGCCCAACCCTCACCACACATATTAGTTTTTAACCCCTTCCTTGCTATGTCCGTTCAACTGTGACATGAGGTGTGGGGGGGTGTGAACCTCCAGTTTACATGACCACTGCAATTGGCTGTCACATCCGTCTCAAGATTAGCAGCCTGCCTGCACACTCTGAGAAACCTCAGCTTCAGTGGGTGTGTAAGCAGGTTGAAATTAGTTAGATAAGTCCTGCCCCAGACAGGAGGAATAGGGTTTATGCCTTTCCCAATTCTTTGTTATTTTGGCAGGATCTTTGGGTCCAAACCTTTTTATGTATAAAAAGGGATAGTGGGCCATGTCCAGGGATGCCTTCTTCCCTATTTCCCCCCGGCAAAAGCCCAAGAGCCTTGCAGCTGGTCCATCAGCTGTGCCCCGTGAGAAGTACAGCCACTTAGGAGCCCAAAGAATGTGAGAGCCATCCAACCTGGCGTTCACCCCAAAGACATCAGAGCATGGATTCTACCTCTACAGGTACAATGGGGGCAACACATAGCCTGGTTAGCAGTAGAGACTAGGGACTTAGACATAATTACTGTTTTACTGAAGTTCTGCTGGACTGTCTTGTCTGCTTTGGACTGTTTTGTACGGGGTGTGATTTTCTACAGTAAAATGTTGAAACGGTGCCTTCTGCCTGGTCAGAAGAAAAAAAGGGGTGCACTACAAGTAACCGGTACTGTCACATAC